GAATGACTTTCGGCCCTGCACAACGCCGATGTCCACCTCATACATGTTCTCTTCCCAAGCCTTTTCGAGAGCGGCCTGGAGCTTCTCGTTGTCGTGCTGGGCCACGACCTTGTCGGCCTTTAGCTTGTCAACTAAGGCTTTCGACCCCTCCAGCTCCTTCTTCAGCTGAGCAATCTCCCTAAGTTGTGCCTAACATCTGTCCTCAAGGGCCTTGGTAGAGAAAGTAGGGGCCTGGGTACCCTCCTTGAGGCCGGGAAGAACGGCTACTAGGAACTAAAAAAAAAAGGAGGGAGAGCAGTAAACAAATAGTGCAAGAGCGAATAAACATAAACACTAGACTCAAACAAGAAGCACCTACCCGAGTAAGGCATTGCGTAGCGTAGCAGGAACGCTCGTAGCTATTCCCTTCGACGCGGGCCTTGTCGGCCTCAGGGAGCACTGAGTTTAGATATCTTGCCACCTTATGCGGCTCCGGATGATTCCAGAGCTGAGACGGCATCTTGACCAGCACATCCTTGTAGGTGACGACGGAAGTAGTGTTCCTTTCAACGACCTTTTCTTTGCCCTTGTCGACTTTGCGACGTTTAAGGTCGTCGGGAAGAAGAGAAGCGGTTCTTGCGTCTTGAGGCCTCTTGCAAGCACTGGGACCCGAGGACTTGGGCTTCTTGGCAGTAGCAGTCGACTTCGCACCGGACCCGCCGGGTGGAGGAGGGGCAGACCCACTGGCTAGCTGCCCAGCGGGTTGTTTTTTCTTCACCTCAAAGCGCTTGAGTGCCTTAACTGAAACAAAAAATAATAAAAGCGAAGGTTAGAAAATAAGAAACAAAACTCGACATTGTAAGGAATGCTGAACAGCTTACGAGGATCATCGAGCCGAGAGAGATCGTCATACAAAACGATTCGGGCATGATTGACCAACTCACTGTATTTTATTATGCGCCGGGCACTATAAGTACACTTATTCAATTCCTCTAAAAGTTTTTCGAAGTTCTCGGATCGAGACCGTTTATTCTGTTTAACTTTAGTACTTATCCAATTATTGGCATAAGGATAAGCGCCGACGGGAGGCCGAATAAAGACAAATTTCGACTTCCACTCCAGAATGTTGGAGGAAAGGTCGTCGAGAAAGGTAACGCCTGAACGGCGGATCAAACAATG